TTTTAGCAAACGCAATGAATATTTCGGCTATATTTTATTTTTTTCACGAAATTATTAAAGTACAATACCAAGAAAAAAAGAAATAAAAAAAATTATACAAATTACAAAAATAATATAAATTACGAAAATGCATATTTTTTGTGATAACATTTGAATAAACGATGAGAAGGAGGCATCAGTATTTTCCCTCGAGCAATTTAATTCAAACCATAAAATAACTAAATTTCCATCTACAACCATTAGCAAAGTTTTAATAGTACTTTTTTGGATTCATTTCAACACAGATCTAACTTAGCTTATTTATTTAAAACCTGCGCCTGAATCAAAAATAAATTCCAAAAATAAAAACTAGACTAGATTCCGTTCTAGTTCGGTAGAGTTAGCTGCCAGATATAAAAAGTAATTTTAAGACTTTTATTTGCTAAAACAAGGAAATAACAATTTAACTGGACATAGGAGCTAGAATTTTCGTTAGGTATTGAGCATTGGAAAGTACGAGAGACTAGAAAATTTTCATGCGTTTAAGATAATGGATAAATATTGTGGAGTCAACGTTGGGACTTGAACTCCAGCTCTGTCGGTCATGAATGTGACAGATCAGCCCCATAATATGCATGCTGATGGAAGGATCTAATTGGCTTCATTAGTTGAGGCAATTAAATTTCTGTTGTATAATTGTATTGAATCGGCTTGAATTGTATGCTGTAAATTTTCAATGTTTTATTTATGTAATGTTTCGAAAACAATCCTTAATCGCATTATTTTGCTATCGAATACAGCACATTTAAATATTTCGGAGTATTCGATGCAGGAAGTTATCATGATATAAGAATGATTGTTAAGATTCATATGTAAAAATCATATAAAAATATATATTCAATACTTTCAAGTTCGAGAAAAATTACGATTATCAAAAATGTTCTGGTATTCTAAAAGTATGTGTAACTTGCTTGTAATTCTTAAAAATAATAATTTTATATTTTTTGTAAAAAAAAAAAATATCGTAATTTTTCAATTGAAGTGGTTGACCCTGGTCAAATAACGTGGACAACACCCGAGATGGTATTTCTCTCTCCAACTTCCCTACCACGACCCATGAGACGACTTTCAGCTGCTGCAGACTAATGTAACCTTGCTACGCATATTTGCCTGTTGCTTAGTCTGCCATCGAGATCGAACTCGCTCTCCAAAAAGTTGTTTGAGCGTCGCCTTAACCGACCGAAATGCTTCATCGACTGTTCTATCAAAGTGCTTCATTTACAATATAGTGACAATAAATAGCTGCTTATATGGTGTGGAGGCTACTGTTCCTGTATTATTGCTCTGATATAGTGTCGAATAGTTGTCCAATTATCAATTATACATTTGTGTTTGATAAATCATTTGTTGATATGTTAAATTTACATTGATTATACATGGAGTTTGGTATTGGGAATAATACATTCTTATTAGGACATCTACATTAGAGAAATTGACTCTTAATTCGCCATTGTTTAGATAATACAAATGATACAGATACAGAATATACAGATACAGATTGTACAAATAATATTGATATAAGATCGCAATGCGTAATAAATTGGGTATACATAGTGTAACGAACTATAATATGATTTATATAGATATATATTTACTAGGTCATGTTGAAACTCATATAGGAACCATTACGTGATTTAGTTGTTTTTCGGAGTTATCAATGAAATTTTCGCTTATGCATAGTGAAAATTATGCTACAACATAAAAAAATTCTCGGAATCTATGCACACAAGATACTTGATACAATAATTGCGAAGAGTAATAAGACATTAGATTAATATTTAAGGTAAAAATGAGTTAGACATAGAAATGAGTACCTAAAACTTGAAATTTAATATTGTATTATTTTTCAAGTGCAATATTTTTTTTACCAAGTTAATTAGATAGCGAGTAATGTTGTGTAATTTATCTATTATAATTAGTCCAAGCCATAGTGTGATTCAATTATTTTTTCACCTTAATACATGATTTTTTAACATTATTTAGAGGCCTATGTTCTTGTACTGGAAATAACAACAATCGCAAATTTAAATGTTTACAAAGGAATGTCAAATTTTTTTATCTGAATTTTTCACAATGGAATTGTTATCAAAGAAGTAAGCTGACTTGCTTGAGATTAACTTTAAAAATGTTTATGGGAAATTCAACTTTAAAATGCAAGTTTTTGAATGAAATTATCTTAAATGCACAAAGGTTTTAAAGTACAATAAAGGAACTAGTCTAAAAGTATACTATTACAATGTGGAATTTTAAACTTCAAAATATGCAATTTAATGTTTTCAAAGTTGGCAAGATGTTCGAATCCCAGAGGTAGCTATTCGGCTCGCAACGACTACAGTTCTGTCATAAAATATCCTCAGTGATAGACTGATCATGGGTGATCATGGCTGATCACGGGTTAGAGTCCCTAGCAGCCAGGATAACCGTGGGATGTTTTCGGGGTTTTCCTCTCCAAGTAACGCAAATGCTAGTTAATTCCCGCAAAAAAATCCTCCACGAAATCAAATTTCTCTCAGGAGTTTCTTCGTCATCTAGATTGGGTTCAAAATTACAGGGCAACAGCGTTGCATATTAGTAGTCGTAAATTTAAATTTGGTCGACTGTTAACAACGACAGACAAAATAGCGTTTTTGTTAATTGTTGATGAGTCAAGTGGACATGTATCAAAGATAACTCCTCCGAAATTCATTCAATGAAGATAATTCGAAATAATAAGTTTACTTACTTAAATTTTGAACATTTTTTAAATTTGAACAATTGACCCGGTTTGGGTTTATGCCTGTCATTGTTCTACTCCGTAGTTTTGTAAAATTAAACTCAATTTGCAAGATAAGGGAACTCCTGAATAAAACATTGGGACAAATTAACCTTCACAATGGACATTTTTATGGACTAAAAAAAGAAAGAAAAACCACGAAAATCTGATCCCAATGGTAGGGTTAATCTAAACAATATCCCGTCTCCTACTGATGATGCTCTTATGTTAACACTGCGCAAGTTGGGGGCAGAATTCGGATGTGCGAGACATCGCATTAAACCTCTGTCGCCTCATTGGAGAGCACTCTAATCCTCTCTGCCAATGTGGCTCATACTTACTTAATTTTATTTTATTTTATAACTGTCCTTGAACAGCTGATCTAATATTGAGTTTACGATTATCAATGTTCATATCCATAACCTTGTAAATTTGAACCCAATCCAAATGACAAGGGAACTCCTGGATCAAGTTTCGGGAGAAATTGCTTTCGTGGAGGACTTTTTTGATGGAACTATCTAGAATTTGCGTTATGTGGAAAGGAAAACAATGGAAATCTACCACGATTAGCCCGACGGCAGTGGGATTATAATCTATGATCCGTCTAACACTGGAGATAGTTTACGTTAGCACTGTGACTGGTGCGAGACGGGAGCATCATACGTATTAATCAGCCACGCCTGGTACACCACCCGGGATACCCATTAGTTGGAGAACTCTCAATCCCCTGAGCCACAGCACTTTTTCCATTATCGAAACTGTTCAGAAAAATAAGGAGTCCTAAAAATAGGAAAATGCTATTATACACGCATTTCTATTCTCCTGTTATAACGCCAACACAAACAATGCCATTCCAAAAACAAACATTATCATTCCAAAACTAAACAGTATCGTTACAAAAACAAACTTTTCATTCGTTCATTATCTTTATTATCTTTAGACAATATTTAGTTCCAATAATATATTTTTTTCAAACTTTTAATGCAACAATTACTGTAATTCAACTTGATGATTCAGTGATTTATTCAGGTTTCTGTAGGACAGCATTTTGAAAGAAAAAGGAAATTAAAAGGCTTTAGTTACTATACATGGCGCGTGAAAATTATTTTTTAGCAACTGGATATAGTAAAGTAACAAACTTTGTAGTAAAAAAAAAGAATTAATTTGTCTTCAATTCAATAACGGGAATGGAAATGTATTGCAACGGAAAATTTAATAAAACCTATATTATGATTAAAGTTTTAAAATCGTTTATATTGAACAAATTCTACACTAGTTTATACAAAACAGTAAATAAGTTTTATTACTCAGCTATTATTTCACTATAAAAATATTTTCGGTGAAGCCTTTTAATTAATTTTTCAATTATATATATCTAAAGAACTAGCGGTATATGTTACAGAAAAAAAAAACAGTTTTCACAATGATACTTATAAACTTTGAAAGTTTCAAAAACATTTTTATTTACAAGATTCAACAAAAAGAAATTCTTGAAAAATGTTTTTCTTATTGGTATTGTTTTTTTGCAGGCTCAATAAGCAATATATACGATGGCACTTACAGATGTCCAGATGGTTCAGCACCAAGTATCAGGCATAAAAGAATTTCGGGAGTGCTTGGGGCTGCCTCAAGTGTTACTTCGATTCAAGTGGCAAATTTATTGCGTTTGTTTAAGATTCCCCAGGTAAGAATTTTTTTAATATTTTGATCCAGGTTTAAATTCATATTCTTCTGAATAAGTTTTCTTATGTTCCACTTGACAATAATATAAGAATTTGGCATATGTTAACGGAAATGTTAGAAATCTGAGAATGTATACATTGCTGAAAACAGACTTTCAAAGTAAAATAGGATTAAATATTTTACACACTGACAGTACATTATATACAATATCAAATGAGAAACTGGTAAAGAATGAAATATGATTATTTCATGCTTTTAATTAGAGTGATTATTATAGTATGATTCATAAATATTGTCTAAGTGGAAAAAAAACTATATAACAGTGAATTTCTCAATTTTTCTTGTGCTCAAATTTATTTATTTTCTAAATAAAATGTATATACTTGAGCTAAATCAATAATTATTTTAAACTAATAGAAGAACTAATACGGGCATTTGTTATTTCTTACAGTTATTTCATAAGTGCTTCATACTGAAAGTATAGATTTTTTCCTGTTTTGATTAGAATTTATCTTGCGACAGAATTCAGTGTAAATAGAATAAACGGAAGTAAGTTTTTCAGGCACAAAAAAGGCAGATTGTTTATTATTTAAACTAATGTTTAATGTAAAAGTAAACAGCTGGCTCTACTGTGACTAAGGCACGAAAAAACTTTAGAAAATAAACTGTGACGCCACAGTGGGATGCTCTTAAATATCTATCATTCAGAGATGGTCTATACATAAAGTAACACAGTAAACTACACATAAAGTAACACTGTAAACTACACATAAAGTAAATGGAGTATACCAAAAAATGGTGTCATATAAATGTAAATTTTTTTTAAATTTTACAGTAAAAAATATCTTTCGAATTTTAAAAAACTGAAAGACGAAATTTTTTTTTGAAAAATAATATACATTGTTAGATAAATAGTCTTTAAACTAATTCTTGTGTGTATTATTTTGGGAATGTATTATTTTGGGAATGTATTATTTTGGGAATGTATTATTTTAAAAATGTGTTATTTATAACATTTCTGATGTTGGGAAAAATCTGGTAATTCAATTTAAAAACTTTTGTCAAGACAAAAATTTGTAAAATTTTATATTGCCATGAGAGAAACAAGGAAAGCGAATATATGACTTTTTTCACAGTGACTTTTCGGATTGACAGTCTGGATATAAACTCACTTTATTTGGCAAGTGATACTTTTACTTATATTCCTTGCTTACTTTTGATAAGGGAAATAATAAGCATTAGAAATGCAAATTTAACATTTAGTTCAGTCGCATAATATTTTCAACACGTAATTCCCATTACGCAAAAATCACTTAAGAAATAATTTTTAAGAAATTTCAATACCCCAATTCTAAGTGTTTAAATGGGTAACCACAGAGGTTATGAAGGCCTTGACAAACGGCATGATGAAATTTGGTGGGACTATTGACTACCTTTACTTCTAGCTAAGCTGAAACCAACTATCTAAAGTTGGTTCAACTTCAAACCACCGCGAGGATAAAACACCAATCCAAAGCAGTAACACCTACTAAGCGGTTAAACAACAAGATTCTCATGACTCATAGCAGTAATAAAGCATAAAAATACTTTCTAAACAACCCGTTGTGGGCCAGGTGAAGGTAAAGGCTCCAGAATTGATTGTGATACGACATGATTGTGAACGACATGATTGTGATAATGTGGTCAAACATTACGCACAGGTCAACGTTACTTTCCAAGTAAGCTTGTACCCATCGATCTGAAGATGGGGAGGGCTTCAAGACACCACTGGGGATCGAACCCCAGGTCTTGACAATGACAGTCCAGGGCCTTAACCACATAGTAGTTGTAAGAATGCAAATTAGAAAACTATTACAATAATTGAGTTAGTAACTAAAATTATAGTTTATGATACAACATTAGTATGCAATCAAATTTATTAATATAATCAGAATCGCCTCAAAATTAGTACAGTGATTCCTCCAGGAAAGACCTCCTCTATTTTCGATCACTTTTTGGACGTTCCATAGACTTTGTATTGAAGTAAACCTTTAGCAGAGACCATCAAAAGCTCTCACATCGATTGTGCAAATCTGAGCACCAGTACGGAAAAGGTAAAACTAGGAAACACGAAAAAATATCAAAACAGAAATTAGTAACAAAACAAATAAGTAAATTAAAATTATTCGTGGGAGGCTCTTCAATAACTTTTAAGGAACACTTTTTGATGTTTTTTGAAAAAAATCTGAAACCTCATGTTGCAGTCATAGTGTAATAAAGTTACTAATTATTTATTTTTAAAGTTGAGAGTTAAATTAGAAAAAAAAATTAAGAAAAAATAAGCATCCTAAACAAGCAAAACTCTTCTCATCTCTTAAAACTAATTAATTTTTATGATATAATTTTAAATGCAAACATAAACAAAAAGCATAATTGTTTATTTATTTAAAAATTTTTCCATCATTCAAAATTGGGAAATTTGTTTTTACACGTAATTGTATCAGTTGAGATCATTTTTATTGACGCTAAATTTTAATCATCGATCTGATTTTCATAACATCAACACAAATGGCTTTTACGATCCAAGAAAATTACACTGACAAATATTAAAATCGTTCGCGAAATATCTTGTACTTTCGATAACATTTTGAAGGTGATAACCCCTAAGAACGACCAACCTCCTTTAACGACCATTTTACTGTGGAACAGAGAGTGGTCGCTCTCGAGAGATTTCGCTGTAGCAAGCTCCAAATATTAGTAAATATAATTTAGGAAATCTACAATAAACTGATTTAAAGATTCATCTAAAGTTAACTGACAACAGAAAATGTTTATTTTCCTCAACATTTTAAGAATATCACATAAATAAACTGCTAAATGCTTGCAAATAAAATTATAAAAGCAACAATTTACAAATTACTTAAATTTATAATATTTTGCGTGAATGCTTATATTTAAGTCATATTTTTTTTCAGAAATAGAAAAATATATTTTCTCTTGTTCACCAAATACTCCAAAATTGTATATTCTAGATTTAAAACTCGATATTTAAAATAAAAATATTTTTCTCTTATGTTTAAGAGTAATTTTTTTTGTTGAAGACGATATTTGAACATTTTATGAAAAAAAAACTAGTGTATTGATATATTGTAAGAAAAAAGCTTGTATAAATTCTACATTTTTGATCAATATAAATATTTCCATTTTCATCATTGTGCGCCTGAAGTAAAGATAAAATTTAAATGTGTACATATATTATACCACATTTGGAAAAGCTTTTAGCTTCCCAAATGTGAACGCATTTGAAACTTTTTAGCAGTTGAATACATTCCAATATTTTACTTAAATTTTCGTATTCGGTTTAATATAAAGTGAAAAATATAAAGCACATACATCGAGAAACAAATGAAATTTTGCAGATACAGTATTTGACACTAACTATTTTTTCCTTTTTATACAAAGTATAAATTCTATGTGAATTTTGTCAGTTCATTCAAATTCTTTTTGCTAGAACCAATAATTCCTTAAAATTATCTTTATTTCTTTTTAATGCCTTTAATATACAAATATATAATATACAATACATAATGTACATAATATACAAATATAAATCGCAACTTTTTTGCTATTTATGAGGTTTTCTTATAAACTAGCTGTGATTAACACTTTAAAGACCTTTGCTGTATACCTGAAGGGGCCAATCTGGCTCCTCCCTGTTTGTTGGAGTGTTCATTAATCAGACATCAAAAATTTTAAAATATAATCATAATTAATATATATATATATATATACACAAATTAACATGAATAAAATAAAAATAAAAAACTAAATGGTAGAGAAACAAGAATGGTAAAAGCAAATAGTCGTTGTCAAGACACATCTAATTGCCATAAATAATGCGATATTTCTGAATAAAGAATAATTATCCTAAGATAAAAATTATTCTTTATATGTGTCGATATCGCAAAAAAC